CTCTTGTCTGTCCAAATCAAAGTATTAGGTTTATTTCTGCCTGACTCCCCCACCTCCAATCAAATGAATCTCTAAACCCATGTCAAAACTGCTGAAATAATTCAACCGTTTTCTGATTATCAAATTCCTAATGATTGTATTTTATTCCAATTTCAGCCATGCCGCTCAATATGTGCCCGTGTTTGTTCAGTGCTTGAATGACGAATGTCCCGACATTGTGTACAGCGCACTCCGCAATCTGGCCGAGTTTGTCACTTTATGTCAAGGTAATTTGTCCAACATAAACACAAGTTACACCTATCTCTAAGACTATTAGGAGTTTGTGCAGAGTCTATAATCTTCCATACTTTCTCCTTCCATTCCCAAAATTTCTTTGAAAGAGCTGTTTGGTGTTTTAATTTAGGGTTAGTAAAAGAGTGCCTATGATTATAAAATCTGTTTCCATTCCCCTGTGGAAATTCCAATATAAACATAATTTTTCATATTTTCTTTGGGGGGAAATGGTTGCTTGATATATAACCCTGGTAGATCTGCATTTGCCGTCAACTGGACAATTTTCTTTATATCTACAATTACAGGGGGGTTCAATACCAGGTTTGCTGTTTATCCCATAGAAATTTATTAAAATATAGTTATTTTGTGAGTTGATAATTTTATTGGTACAGGGGTAGCTAATTTTAATCATTTTCCTATTGAAGATCTTACTTAGAGGCTTGTTTTTATGAAAGTGTTTATTTATTTAGAAAATACTTTTTGATATTAATATTTAACAGTTTGCAGAAGTAGGGGTAATGATATAATTTTTCTTTTTCTACTTCTGTGACTTCATTTCACTTTAGATATTTCCATGTCACTTATGTGGGGTGGGGATTAGATATTTTATTTTTAGAACCACATTTCATACAATTCTTTATTTTTATTAAAGATGTTTATCCAGTACCAACAGTGGTGGTTATAATTGACATTAATATAGTTGGAGGATTTCATTGTCTTTATGGTATGGTTTAAACATTTTATTATTGAGGTTAACTATGATCAACTATTTTAAGGTTAGAAGAAATCTCAATTCTAAACCCTAGTAATTTAAAGGCTCTAATGATTTTCTTTTGTATCTTCAGTTAGTGGGCTATTAATACTGGAGATCAAAATGAGTCTATCATTTATATATATATATATATATATCATATCATTTCTGTAGTTCACTGCTACCAGCATTCGGTCGAAACTAGTCGAGGAATCTAAATGGAATAATAATAAAAAAACGAAAGAATATTAATCTACAACCCAGTGTGTCTAAAGATTTTAATTTTTTATTTTCTTATTGTTCAAAATATATATATATATATATATAAAATTAACGTCAGATTTGCTTCATTTTTAAAGAATGAAAAAGAAATTTTAAATTGCAGTTTTGCTTTTACATTGATTTAGTTGATGAGGAGTTCTTATCATTTTACTCTGACTAAATGTTTTTCTTTTTTGTGTTGCAGAACATGCTAATGTAATTCTTGAAAAAGCATTTGCAGTTGGCATTGTCACTGCTATTGAAACAAGTTCATACATTTCTGAAGCCCTTCAGTTGCTCAATATGGAAACGGCTCAGTGAAGATAATGATTGTCTGTGATGCTGTCTGCTGATATCAACAAACATCCCCTCCCCCACCAGAAAAACAAAAAACAAATTTCTCATTCCATTTTATTCTCATTGTGTGTGTGACAGAAGAAAGAAAATAAATCACTTTATTCAGATTTTTGCCTTTGATGTAGTGATTCTGTTCTTAGAAATTCTATTTTATCAAGTAACCAATTCTTTACATTATGATGCGTTATGAGAAATTCAAGAGTTTTTCAAGCTTAAATGAAAGAGAAACAAGATTTTCTTGAATTTCTTAGAATAAATATTGACAAGGCTACTTTTAATTGTCCTTCCAATTAATCAGGAAACAAAGAATGCTCTTTGAGTAAAATTAAATGAAGATGAAAGTAGTAAAAATCAAAAATAAATAATGGTTGACTGTGATTCATTTACTGTTCAAGAAAAATAATGAAGGCAAATTGTATTTTTTTCCTGTCCACTATGGAAATTGCAAAACTGAAAATTCAAATGGACAAAAGAAGAAAAAATCCGTTTTATAAATTAGGTTTTATTAAGCAAATAAATATTTTTTAACAATTTTTTTTAACAGTTTCAAGAAAAGTGTATAACTGATTTTTAATTCAATATCCTTTTTCAGGATTTTATAGATTTTTTTAATGTTGCTTTTAACTCTTTCTAATCTTCAATGGATTTTATTAGGTTATATTATTTTGAAATCACAGCAGTAAATTCATCAAACCTTTTTAAGAAAAGGTTTTTCTTTACAAAGAAAATCAGCAGAAATCTAATTTCAACACTAGAGATTTTTCTTTTCCCATCCATTGCACCAAAAGATTAAAAAAAAAAAATTGTTTAGTCAAATTATGGGAAGTGGGTTGGGTCAATAACTTTTCAGCAACCCAAATTATACAGGGTGTCCATAAAGTCCGTGTGCACACCATATATATATATCTCTCTCTCTCTCCAGGTAAAATAAGAACAAATGGAGTATAATTCTACTGTATGTAACATTTAATTTAAAAAGGGCTCAATACAGAGTATAAATTATGCAGTGATTTTTTTTTTTTTTTTTTTTTTTTTTAACATACTAAAATTATATATAATGAAATGAAAAAAAAAATTTTGATATTGTCTGAATAGTTAATGTCAACATAATTTTGAAGAACTTTCTAAGTCACTGAATATATGACAAGTAAAAATATTTAAGGTTTTGTTCAAAAAGCCGTTTTTCTAATAAGAGAAAAAAAAAAATTCTGGCCCAAAGATTTTGTCTTTTCTACTTGGTCAAAAACAAATTAATAACATGATTGGAGATTTTTCTAAATTAAAAGCCAAGGTTTTTATTCTCACAAAACAAATGCATTATTGATTAGAATAATTTTTTTTTTTTTTTCTTTCTTAAATTTGATTTCACTTAAATGAGATAAAAATATCTTGTAAATAAATTGTTTTAAATGGAATGTAAATTACTTTCTCCAGACTTTTCTATTCAGAAGCAAAATCATTTTGTATTGATACCCGTATTAAATATAGGATAAAGTTGGGTGGGTAGGGACATCTTTGCTTCTGGAAAAATAATCCTAACTCTGTCCCAGAACAGTTGTTGTTACATATGCAGACACTCAATGTAGGTAATAAAATCCTTGTCACAATGACTGCCTCTGGTCCCTTATTGACACCTACTGTAGCGCAAGAGTTAGTCAATTAAATGTTTGTCAGCTTGTTACTAGTTGAATAAAAGTTTGACTCTAATAAATATAAACTGAGCTTTGTAAAGATTGAGAATTTTTTGTTTTTTTTCTTCTTCTCCCCCACCCCCATTGTTTTATAAAATAAGAAATGAAATGCCATTTTGCATTTGATAGAGTGAGACAAGTCTCAAATCTAAAAGCTTCTTGAACAACTGACACATGCAAACTATGAAATACTTGTCAATTACTATGAACAAAAAGGTGGGGGGGAATACTGTTTTTGTTGAAATATTTTTTGAAAGACAATTACGAAGTGAACAAGGGAGATAAATCTTGTTTGCAGTATGGGGGGGGATTAATTCATACTGTCAATAGTTATGAAACAATTCTAATTCATCCATTTTTATTTATTATTCGTACAGAATAAGTTTGCAACAATTCTTCCCTATCCACACTTCTTACCACTTCATTGCTAAAGCATTGGTATTCTTTTCTATATGATGATATTGCGTATGCAATAGTGTTTTTGATTTCTCAGAGTCAGCTCCACCTAGCCATTGATTATAAAGCTTCTCTACATGTTCAACTTGTTCAGGCTGAACACATTCAATAGAATTGTACAGTTCATTCACCAGCTTCAATCTGTCTTTAGCCGTCTCAGAAGACCCAGGGTCAGGCATGATCTGACCCCTGCCATTGTTACAACCAGAGGGACAAGCCATTATCTCCACAAACTGGTAGGGACATTTTCCTCTCTTTATTTTCTGGACAATATTCTGAATATTCCGAAATCCATAGGCAATGGCTCCTTTCAATTCTTGGCCATCATCTGATGTCAATATTATTTCTTTCATGTCAATATTTCTGAAAAGAAAAACAATTTTATTAACAATGATAAACAAGTGCCCTTACCATCTGTTGTAAGCAAATAATATATTTTATTCAGAATATGATCACTTCTCCCCACCCCATCTTATCAGCCAGAAAATCTATAGGGAAGATGGGCCAAAAGAATAGCCTCTTTAAATTTAGTGGGGAGCCCTATTCATGTGGCCTTGTGCCATACTAAGATACCCTGCCCCCAGTTGAGATTCATGCCGATATGCAACCCCCACGGACCTGGTCTTTATTTCTAGAGAAAATAACATTAATTATGATTATATTTGGTTTAAAAACAAATGAGAAAAAGCAATTCTTGACTGTAGAAATGCATTTATATTAAATATAAACTGATTAATAAACATCACAAACCCAACATCAATTCTAAGTTATTTTTGGACAAAAACCTAAAATTTGCCAACCTCTGCTTTCAATGGATAATTCATGTTTTCTCAGGTTGCATGCGATTTTTGACTAAATATTTAGAATTTCAGGTTTCAGAGTTAAAAAAGAAAAGAAATATGACTAGAAAAGAAGGAAGAGTTTACTGACAGCAGGATTATGGCAATTATGATCAATTAAAAATAAAATACAAAGACTTTATTTCAAGTTACCGATCAAAAGAAAAATTCTAATACGAACCTCAAAGTTTTAAGTTCCAATTGGTCAACATTTTTATCAAACAATTTCTTGACAGCATTTTTGAGAATGTAATTCAAATAACCTCCAGAGCCACCGCCATCATGGTTGATAATTTTGTAGGCTTCACCATTTGGATCTCTGCAAGAAAGGAAACCAATCTTAAACAAAGAAAAAACAAAACATATTTATTCAGTCCTACAGCAGATGCCATTTTCAAGTGCCCCCCACCTTTTTTTTTTTTTTTAAATCATTTCACCCCACGCAAGGCAATAAAGCCACTAAGTGCAAGAGAATATGAGAAAAAGAAAGCAATATTCAAGAACAATGAATGAACAGGAATCAAGAATACGGAAGATAATGATTGATATTGATCTTCAAAAATTTGAATACAGTTGATTGGAAAGCTTCCAATTGAGGGAGGGCAAATTCCAATATGTAAATGTTTAGATGCTTTGCGCTTCTGTTGTTTAAGCGATTCGGTTTCTCCTTCCCATTTTATGATCAACATAACTCTTATCTATCCTACATATCCTCATAATATGCAATACTTGGTCCCTCCTTTATAATCTCAACATTCAGTAACCCTCTACCTTGAGTGGCACTTAGGCCTTTCATTGAGTGAACTATAGTGTTAAAAAAAAAAAAAGGAAATTGGCAAATCTAGGAATGCTTTTCTTGGGGTTAGAAAGGAAAAAAGTAGCTGACTAAAAAATGACATGTGAGTAGATGGGTATAAACTTCTTTTTTTCCTATCTGGAATGCCCTCTCCTCTCAACAATGTATTTAAAGCCATTGTTATAGAATTCATGCATACAGTTGGTAAAAAAGAAAAAAAGTAGGGTTGCTAGTGAAATTGAAGGCATTGATAAAAAATAAGAAAAGAAAAAAAAAAAAATAGTTGACAGAAAAATAAGATTGCCAAATCACCCCAAAAATGGCCATTTGATAAAAACTGCAAATTTGAACGTCTTACAGGCTATAAAAAAAAAAAAATTTTCCCTGTGGGACATACTGTTGCTTATAACTGAAGATGATTTGGTTCTGACCAAGAAAGATCTTGGAACAAAAGAGCATGTTTCTGGTGAAATTCTGGGTTAGCAGAGAACAAATGTGACAATTCCTGGCTGTGTGTGAGGAACTCAGTTGTATATTTCTTCCAATTTGAGGCAATTGTGGCTGCGAGTCCTGACTGTACGTGTCAATGAGTAGAAAACCTGAATTCATCCTCAACTCCTTGCATGAAGATAGTTGGAAGCTATTTGTCATTATCTAAGTAAGAAGACCAGCATGCTGATACAGTGGAGTATTTGATTACCTCTTCACAGATCCACTTCAGTCCACCTCAGCCTTGCAATAGCCTCACCTACCAAAATTACCCACCTTACTTTGGACTTTTCCATTGACAGAGAAAAGTCATGGCAGCAACCCTGGAGAATGCTAGGTGCTAAGAGATGGGAAGGTCCAAGACAGCAATTCCTCAGTCTCTACTGGACAACTACTTCACTGACACAACCTTGGAATGTCTTCAACTACAGATATTTTGGACATACCTTTTCCATGAAAATATAAAAATTGTTTATAGTTTGTAGATCAGAAAATGTATTGTTGGCAATTTTATTATAACAGTGTATTTTTATATTTTTTAGTGTTGCATTGAGTGTTATTTTGCTATAAAAAAATTAATTGTTGGTCTAAAATGACCAGCAATTCATCTTTTTATAAAAATTTACTGATTTTTTTTTTTTGTCACTTATTTGCCCATAAGTTAGGGTGAACCTGGGAACATTAGCAATTAAGAGGAAATTCAATGTTCCTCAAAACCTCCAATCTTCTGATCAGAGGCCTTGCTGCCGGATGTAGTTTATCGTCCTACCCAGGACAAGTTGCTGATTTTAGTCAGTGACACAACATAGATTAGCAATAGAGAAAACATTCAAATTTAGAAACAATAGTACTGTAAAACCAGGATATGTAAGTGAAGCAGCTATAGCTAGGGCCTCCTTCCTTAACAAGAAGGATCCCTGTTGAAATCCTGAAATGACATGTGGCAGCCTGGGAATCCCCTTTACAAAATATGAAACATCAGATGAAAGAAAGAAAAAATGTCCAACTTACACTAAATCCAATTCATGGTTTGGAACATCTGGTAAGGAAACGTTTTCTTTTTCTAGCATCAAGTCAACTTCATCTGAAAAGATTTCCAATTGAAAACAAAGTTTAAGACAAAGGACTTACATTTTCTCATGGGAAAAATCTAAATTGTCTACAGAATGGCTTATAAAACCTTTCCTGTTAGTGCCAAACCGAAAGAGATGTGATTATTTCTTCAGACTATGTGGAGAGAAAGAATAGTAAAACATTCTTTATCACATAAAATCAATCCAAATGAAATTGCCAGAGAATTAGGACCCAAACTTTTGTAGCGTTAAAAAAAAAAAGAATTGATATTTTTAGCAAATAGGATTTGATTATGAAATACAAATAGAATTTATACTAAGTGAAATTTTATTTTATCTTTATATAAAATTGTCATTTCAATGAAAAGGTTGAATATACTTCAAGCGCTGAAATTGAATTTCAACACAAAAGATATTTTAAGAAACATTTTATGAAAAATATTAGGAAGGATGATGTCAAGTTGATTCCGTTCTGCTTAGAAACACAACTGCAAATATTTTTTTTTTGTGTGTCTAACCAGTAAATCAATTTATATTTCCACACTGTAAAATCTCAAATCTTTATGAATTCAATATTTGTGTTGATTTAAATTGAACACAGAGCCACAGGCATTTGGCTCTCAGTGAGGATCAAAGTCATGATGTTGACTGTGTTCTCTTTACAATCAGTTCCCAGAAGAGATTCATAGAAGGTGATCTTCAGTCTCTTTTCACAAAATAAGAAATTGAAAGAAAGATAGATAGATGCCATTCGGTGAAGGGACATTATCAGTGCAAAAGTTGTTCAGATGAGCAGACACATTTATGTTGCTTGGTGTTTTTTTTTTTTAGTCCAATATCTTGGCCAATCAATTCTACAGTCTTCTTCAAGAGTATAACCCATAAGAAGAGCTGAACAATGTGACAACAATGAAAGCAACACAAAAAACGAGGTCATTTGTTTGAAAAGAATATTTGTTACTCTAAAGTCACTTCAAAGTTGTTACTGACAAATGACATTTTTTTTTTTTTTACTGACCAAAAAACAAAGACTCGTCCCTGCTAAAATAATTTTACCTCCATACCGACACAAGGAATTTTATTCAACTATAAGTGACAAATAACAAGTTAGCTTAAGAGATCACAGTCTGCATAGTGACTTTGATCCTCAGTGAGATCCAAATGCCTCTGGAATAAAACCATAGCCTGACAGAGGCATTGGCTGGAATATTTATTGCATCATGTTCAATCTATACAATTGATATTTAGCACTGATTTAAGTGCATTGACAAGGATTGATTGATTTTATGGCTTATCTACCCTTTGTGGATTATTTAAAGCCCAAATATTTTTGATTGCAAGAATAATCCCCGCACCTTTTTTTTTTGCAAGTGAATATTGCATTAATAATTTTTCCAGATACAAGTCCTACCATTTAATCCATAGCTGTGGGGGAAGAAATGGATTCATACCTTTCTCAAAGGTATTTGAGCATAAGTGAATATAATGAACACATTGATAAGGAAAAGGATTATGTTGAAATATTTTTGTTGCATAAAAGATACATGCTTTTTTTTTATTGATCATTAGGCTACGAACTTATTAAACGCACATGTGTGTGTGTAATAAAATTAAAAATAAGGATATTAATCTGAATGGTTTCTGGAATAATGAAAATATTTATTTTCAGCACAACAAAAACAAAAAATTGAAAGTCAAAATAAAGAAGAAAGAATGAAAATCATTTGCTGTGTTACCTGTTGTTATGACACAATCAACATCTCTGGTGCTGTAAAGGTCATTGTAAAAATCCGAGCGAGAGGCTTCTACTTTCTTATCATAGCACGGCATCACAGTCACATGATAAACCTGGTTGGGTTGCTTATTGTGTGTCTGTGCAAGAAAGTCTTTCACAAATGAACCCATTATCTGTTGAGGAGATTTCGTTGTACTAATATAAGGAAGAATGAAAGAACCGTGTGTCTTCTCAGCATAGCAAATCCAACCTAAACAATAAAAAGAAAAGCAAAACGAGATGGAAATAAAGATAAAAAAATTAATTTTTTTTTAGCCTAAAATTTATTCGGCTTTATTATTAACTGAAATTATCCCAAAGTTTTTCCTTTTTTCAGGAAAATATTTTTCTTTTAATCTTAATGTTTTGAAACCTGACTCCACCCACTGATATACTGTCCCTGCACATTTTGAGTCCATTTCACTATTTCATAAGTACAAGCATAACAGAATTAATCAATGATGAAGATCAGTAAATGGCCAGTACAAAGTTGCTCAGATGAACATCTTTATTCTACTTTCTATTTAAGGTTCTCTGTATTTCCTTGTCATACACCAATCTCAATATATTCTCATTTTGCACAAAGATAATGGCAGCAATATTGATATATCTGACAGAACTTGATTTGTCACATGAACCACCAACATACGGACAGAAAAAACATTTGGAATTATTTATAGCCATTAGATTTACCCAATCCCTAAGAATACCGACTGGGATCTGCAAGTGAAACATTATGCATCAAATTATTTTACAAACACTAAAATTCAGCTATGTTTTCTATTATTGGCTTACCAAGGAATCAGCTTCAATAGTTTTTTTTTTTTTTGTACACTTTATTAAAGAATCTAATATTTTGTCTGAAAGTTTTGATTCAATAAGCAAAAAAGATTATTCTGAAAGTTTTGATTTAATAAGCAAGAGAGATTATCCTGAAAATTTTTGTTAAATGATACACAGGGAAGAATGAGTGCTAAATGTATTTATTCAGCTCCAGTATCCAGTGCTAATGGATATATGCAAAAAAACATGAAACAATAAGTTACAAAACAATTAACAAGACAACTTACAAGGAATAGATGAGGGTCAAATGGTGTATAGCCAAACAAAGTAAAATCTGTTTGAATATTAATCAGCTAAGTATCAACTTATTAATCAACTGTTGAAGTCCTTAATTGTAGACTATTTAAGGCTATGAGCCGGGCCATCTGGCAGAGTGCTAAGGAGGTGCTAGCTACTCTACAACAGTTTTGATCCGAGAAGCAAAAGAGATTATCTCCAAAAATTGGCCATTTGATGAGCTATTGTTAGTCTTTGTAGTCAAATCCTGAAAGGTTGTTAGAAATTTGATTCCATTTACTCATTTTGGTGAGGATCAATATCTGATTGATAGACTGTTAACATTTGATATTATTGTAATCAAAAGATAAAGGGTAAACAAATTTCAATATCAAAATCCACTACAGACTAATCAAATTACTTACAAGATATGTGTCAGCATAAGTTGGCATATTTTTTTTTTTTAATTATAATGTTAAAACAATTTTCAAATCTAAAATGACCTAAAAAAAAAAAGGAATAAAAATTACAAAACTTAGATTGACTCAGAAATCCCTTCCATTTTGTTTTATCAACTTTATTCAAAAAAATCAAGTACAATACAATTACATATTATTCAACATTATTTGCAATGACTTACTGCCACCTATCATGTAGATCTTTGATACATTTTAAGTAAAACTCTGCAGTTTTGATGTGTAAAAGGTTTTGATGAACTCTTGAATTTGGCTTTTATCAGAGAAAGTTTTGTTTGTTTTTTGTTTTTTTACCAGTAATACATTGCATACGGCATATCAACCTCAGTGAGTTATTTGATGCCAACAAGATTTTTATTGCTGGTAATATTTTTTTTTTTTTCAAAAAAAGTATTGCTGGTATTAAAACCTATTTTTATACTTTCATAGTGTTTCGACCCCTTCTTTTGGGGGGGTTAACTATTTGCCCATAGCTGGGACCCTAACAGGTGCTACCACCTCAGGTCAGGGTGGACCTGGGAACACCAGCAATTAAGAGGCAGTTCCATGCTCCTCAAAACCTCCTGATCAGAAGCCTTGCTGTTGAACATAGTTTATCGTCTTACCTTGGATGCGGATGTAGTTTATCATCTTACCCAGGATAGAGAGAAAGTTTTCACAATTAAAATATTTTGCAGTGATTGAAAAAAGTAATCGGTTGGTACAAAATCAGGTGAATATGTTAGGTTGGATGGAATTGACCAACCAAGTTGGAAATCTGCCCCCACCTCTATTATTCTTGGTGTAAGTGGTTTTGTGTGTGGTCATGGAAGAGAACATTTTTTCCCTATTGATGAACGCAGGGGGCTTTTCAACCAAATATTTATGGACACCTTGCAGCTGCTGGATAAACAAATGTACATTTTATTACATTTTAAGACCCCAACAATCCCACCAGATGCACATTTGCTTTCTCTCATGAAGTTCAGCTTTCAGAGTTGGTTTTGTATTGAACACAGTCATATGTAATCAGTTATTCTTATGAAAGCAAACTTGTCACTACAGATCTGCTTTGTTCCTTTTACTAAGAGCATGTGGAATGCAAACATCTAGCTTGATGACTTTCTCTATCTTTTCTATGTGTTGGCATATGGTAGATTGCAATATATTTATCATTTTTACTAATTACCAAGGCCATTGCTATGGATTGCTTTCCACTAAGGATTTTAGTGCTTCATCACCAAAGTTCAAGTAGTATCCTGGTCTGGGTTATGATTGACCATAAACACTACATATTTTATTGTATACATAACATTATTTTCTTGTTTGAACTCCAATAACATTATGCAAGATAAATGCACTTTCAATCTCTCCATTTTTTAGGAAATTTATTCTTTAATCTGCTCTATACACTGTCTTTTACTTGTGCAAAAACTATCGGGTATGTTACTGTTCTCCAAATTTATTTTTTTAAAACTGCCACATATGATTAGTAATTAGGCTGATAATTTTATCTTGACAATTGATTTCCAAAAACGGAAATTATTTATGACTCAACATAATACTTTATCCAATTTTTGCAAGTGACAATTGAAATTATCAATCAACTCACCTGGACAAGCAGAAGCCAACATTGGTAATGACGGCTTTTCAATCTCAGCTGTTTTGTAACGTTCAAGAAATTCCTTAGCACTTTCTATTAGACTGAAGTTACGGGCAAACGTTGTATCAAATACATAATCCACACCTGTTGTATAAAAGAAAGACACACAATAATAATAGACTTGCTGTAATTAAAAATATTAAAATTCTATTTTTAACTGATCAACTTTGGATGAATTCAAGATGAGAGATTTTAACTTTTATTTTGATTAGCTGGTTGTTTATCTCACCCCAATCCCAGGAGTTTTTCATTATGTGTTCTTCATGGTATTTCTAGAATCATGAAGATCATTTGCAATGCTCATCTCTCCAAATGATAGGCTGGGTCAGGATCCCATTGTAACCATAGCTGACAAGAATCCCTTACCTCACCTGACTCTGCACATTCTTCTTTAATTAACCATTGTGGCATGCTATTGAGACATTTATCAAAATATTTGGTTATGGGAAAAGAGTGCAGGGAAAGTAAGTGTGATTTCATACCTTTTCCAAGAGCAGTTGTAGGAAGCAGACACATGCAATCTTTGTCAGAATTCAAAACATTTTTACTAAAGTTCATTTTATGCGCCAATAACGGTTGTCTTACTTCATGCCTTCAAATATATTGAAAACTGAAAACTATTATCTAAAATTTAAAAAAAAAAAAAATTCTTTGTACATGTGTATGTGTGTTAATATTTAACAGCCCAAAGCCCCATGAGGGATGTATGTGGCACAAGGCCGAGTTTATCGTGGCTTCTCTGAGCCTGTAGGCTCGGCCAAAAATATTCCTAAGCAGGTCCGGGCCTGTCTACCTCCCCGGATGAAACTTTGCCCTTCAGCAAAACCTTGTCTGGGTTCCTCTCTGCTCAAGGCAGAGAGTTTGACAGCACAGTACAAACAAATCTGTTTGACTGTGTGTGTGTGTGTGTAATAGTATTGAATATAATGCAGTTATTTCTTAAACATCTAGCATAAGGCTACTGTAATGAGTCACCTAGTGAGGATCAAACTCACTACAGTGGGGGATTGGTCTGTAAGATATGTTTGATAGTAGAAGTACATAGAACACATTAAATAAAAATTAATAAAAGTTATAATTTCTGATTTGTCACCATTTGTTTTGACAAAAAAAAAAATGAAGCCAAATAACTCCTGTAGTTATGATGTTCCAACATAAAAGCTCTCATGTTTTTTGCAGTTTTAAATTTTTATTTGGAAATTCTGTAAATAAATTTACAAATATAGAGGAACATTAAAAAAATGTTTAACCAGAAAATATTTTCCTAACTTTAGTTACTCAGGATAATTTAAAAGAAAAAAAAAAAAAAAAAAACATTATTAAAATCTGACAGCAGACTTTTGGAAAATAACCTATTTTTGCATGTTGCCTGTGCAAAATCTTAAAGAAAAAAAAATTTGATAGGTTGATGAACAAAAAGTAAAAATATAAAGCTTGTCCTAAACAATTCAATAATAATTTTCATAAGCTATCATTTAATTGTTATTCTTTAAATGAATGAAACTTTTAAGAGGAACTGAGTAATTTTTTCATAAGATAAAAAGCATTCTTTGACCCCGAAGACCAGATTCTATACAAAACTTCAATATAACAGCTGACTATTGTAAACACCATCATTTCTGCATAATGTCTTTCAATGAAAACACAAACAAAACTCTTTTCAGAGGAGAGGAAAATAACCGTACCTAAATTTTTGAAGAAGCCAGTCAGTTTCAGGGCAGTTTCCTCAATAGACAATTTATATTTTGCAGCCATGGAAGCTCGAGTTTGTGGAGATAGAGAGACAACCACCAGATTCTGGTCTGCTTCACAGCCTTCCTGGAAGAAAAATATTCAGCATTTTAAATCTTAGGTACATTCGTAGCAAAATCGCTAAATGAAGCTCTCATGTGTGCACATTATGGAACTGATTGAAAAAGTTTACTTTGAAGGAGTGGGCTGTGAAAAGATACAGTAAAAAATAAATATTTCAATCATATTCAAAAGAAAAAATCTTTTAGGAAAATATATCTTAAAATTAAAAAGTACATTTTTATTCATATTTTACAGATCAATTTATGCTTCTTAAATAATCACAATTTCAAGGTAAAGTGACTTTTTATTTAAACTTTTAAAGCAAAGAGAAAACAATTTTCTTTAAATTACTGAATCTAAATACACACAAGCTGATTTGTATTGTATACACCCTTGTGCAAATTAACTGAAACAATCACTTTAATTTCCTTTCTTTCACCATACGGTCAGTTTTAGACCCACTGGAATGGCGGGGTGTAATCGATTTCTAGTTTTTCATCAGATTACGTTGTTTACAGTGATGTGCAGTAATATGAATCTATTTTCAGTGTGTATGATGAAATTTGTTTATCCTTGAAAAATATTGCATCATCTGTGATTGCATCAGATTTTTATCACGTCCAGACACTATTGTCTCAATTGTCAATTACTTGTCCTACAGGAAGTGTACAAAAATTGTAATGTGGTACGAACACACTGGCAAGTTTACCAGTGACAAAGCAAAGTACTATGGAATGGCACAGAAACTCTCCCGATTTAAATCCAATCAAGAATTTGTAGTCAATCTGCAAGGAACCACTTTGTGGAATGGACATACAAAATACTAACATGTGCACTGGGTCATGTTTCATTGGAAAAATATGAAAAAAGTAAATAATAATGGAATTGTTTTGTTTCAATTAATTTGCACAAGGGTATACTTTACAAGATGAGTAATAGTAGAGCAGGGAATGTTGGATTTGTGCCTTTTCTAAAAGTCTAAACTAGGATTCAGCATTATTGCTCCTCCAATGTCCCATTCACCAGATACTTTCTCTGTAAATGCAATATAAGAATCAGGATCAAAATCTCTACCCACCTCAGAATGATGACAATTCATAAAGATTTACTAACCTTTTGTCGTCGAACATTCTCATTTAGCACTTTATAAAGCTCTTCGCTGCTTTGTTGAGAGACCAAAACACTTTCAGCAGATGTGATGCACCCACTGCATGCAAGGCAATCATTTAGCGTAATTTTGGCTTTCTTTAGTTTGCTGTGGCTTCCAGACTATGAGGAAATAAAAGAAGATTACTCAAGAGAAACATGGTACTGATATATTTGTTAGAAATAAAAGGTATTTAAAAATTACCAAATCGACTTGAAGAAGGTTGGAGACTGACCAGAAGAGTCTCCAGTGATCCAAAACAACAAAGATGAAATTGCATATGCAACAAACTTTCCAGAAAGACAAGCTATCTGGCACACTAATATTCACACACATTCCTAGAAAAGTAACTCAATTAGATAATGTAATATTCCTAAATTCTTAATACAAATCACTTCCCTGGAAATCTACAAAAATTAGAGAAAAAATATTGATAGGTAAATACAAACCTACTGTTAGTAAAAGATAATTAATTTCTTTTCAATTTTCTTGAAATGGTAATTCTTAGATTCATCATTTCTTTACAAGAAAACATTTGGCATTGACTGATCGAGAAGCCATTGTTGCTCATTTGAAATTTATAAAATCTTTCTCTTAAAACAATTTTTCAGGAAAATAGGTTTCTCAAGTCCAGTAGCTGTTATTGTTTTTTCCAGTAATGATGGTGGTTTCCTTTTAACCTTTTATTTGAAGTCGTGTGGAATGTCAACATCTTGATTATGTCATTATTTTGTTTTCAACATGCATGTGATATTCATTCTAGCTGTTGAAAGTTCTCAAGTGATGTTATACTTGTTATTTGGTACGGTTCTTTGTGATTCTGTAGTGCCAATCCACAAGGTTTCAATAAGTGTGGTCTTTGCCAAGACTCACAGGCCTCACTCACTCAAAGCCAGTTTTTTAACCATTGATCTGAGAAAGCAGTTGTATACAGATGACAGTTTAGATATTTCTGAATGGGTTGGGTACCATACATGGCATCCGTATCAAAGTCTCAATCTGATGAAGCTAATTAAGATATAAAATTCAATGATATTCAGAATTGAAACTCAATCTCCTGGGGATAAAAACAATTAGCTTTCTGGGTTTTTGGGGTTTTTTTTTTAGAGAAATTCTAAAGATAGAGTCACTTGGAACTTCACATGTTGCAATGAAATGGGACTCAATGCCAATAACAGGTTTATGTGTAGGCATTGCTACTGGACCCTCCTGTCATTTTCAACGTATGGAGGGTCAAGCAGCCGAGTGCTTAGAACCAAGAGCCAGACTACCTGCACCTATCATTTGATGATAGTGGCAAAGGCTTGTACAGAAACAAGCACACTTTTTGGAAGAGCCGAATACAGAGAACTGGTGAACAGTATTTCACAAGCTCCTCAAACAACCCTCCGCAGGTTTTGAATTCAAAATGTCCTTCTCCAAGACCAGTTACCACCCAAGGCTTATAGGACCCAATCTGTCCTCCTATTTATTCATAGCTGAGGGGAGAAGAGACGGATTCATATGTTTCCAAAGAGTATTAGCACCTAATTGAATGTAATGAACTTGATTGGAATTTGAACATGGCTCTCCAATTCCTCAATCTGAACGACTATCCATCACTTCACTGTCTCCATGCAAACACACACACACACACATATATATATATATATATATATATAATACACACTTTTTTCTTGCACATTTACAGTTTTTGTTCACAATTTGCAATTTAGAATCAAAGAATGTGTATTCCTTGAGAAAGTGATTTTCATTCTTATATCCCAAAATTGTCTGGAAATGGTAACTGACATTTCCTTTCCCTTGTTCACTTTTGAGGATTATTTTCTTCTTTCAGACAATTGCAGATTCTAACTGAGAGATAGCTTGTTTTACCCAATGTTACATCTGTGCTTAGAGCCAATCAAATCACTAGTTAACTTTCAGATTGTCTTGCCTTGTCTTAATGGGGAATACAAACGAAGAACACAAATTACTTGTCAACCTAATTTTAAAATTGGTTGATCATTACTTGATAATTCTCTTAATACTTAATGTGCAAATTTCTTTAATTCCCTTATTTGGATGTAACTCTTTTCCTTCCTTGAAAGCTTCACTCTGTCTCTTTCACACAAATCTTGATTTTTATCATTTCTTCAACATTTGGTTCATATCAAAACTGGATCTATTTTGCTTTGTTTTTATTTTTAATCAAGTTCTTATTCTAATGCTTAGGCCACTCTGAATATCCAACCTTTTTACATATCTAGTTTGATTTTGGTATACAGCTTCTTTAGGATTAAGGTCAAGTTAAATGTATCATTTATCATAGAGGTAAATGATTTTCTACTACTGACTTGTAAAATCCTAGCCAGTCTTTGTTGATTATGCAAGAGATTCTCTTGACAACACTTTGCTTTATATTTCAATTGTCTGACTCAGTTTCTAGCCGTTTCAATAGCCATTTCTTAAAAAATGACTATATTTCATTGGCTGGTTGGTAAGTAACTCTACAGTTGTGACGAACAAGTTGGAATATTCTGAGAAATTGGTAAGCCTAGTTGCAAGGTGAAAAAGAATGCAACCTTAAAACCAAGGAATCTATCACAGATGCTAAATAAGTGCAAGAACCACTTCACACTGAAGGCCTAGTATAGAAATAAATACAATATGGGAGCCGCTAATAAATAAAGAGAAAAAGCATCAGTAAGAGACACTTAAGTAAATGCAGTCAAACATGAAAAGCAGCTGCAACATCAAAAGCAAACAGAGTAGGTTTAAGGCTCCATATTCTAGACTCAGGATTATCCCATGAGACAATAGCCTAGTAAAATGTTGGTTTGTGAGTTTGATTTTCCCAAAATCAGCATTCTGATATTTGATCATTGAAATACTGATTTTAGGAAGTGCATGAGATTGGTAACTTTTCAGCAAACCCTTATATGATTTTAGAGACCAGAAAAGACAATCAAATGGAAAGCTTTTTCTCTAATTTGAAATTTTGACCAATCACTCTACATTAACCACCAACCAAAATACAAGTTGAAACTTTCAAGTCACTTATGTAATTCACAGCCTGAAAAATTGGTAGGGGGGGAGAGAAGGAAAACAGAAATAAGATACAGAAGAAAAATAATAAAAAAAGAAAAAAAGGGTGCAATGTAGTATAAAGTAATGATGTTTCAAAGAGAGGTTGTTAGCAGTTTCTATCCCCATTACCTTGATGGCAACATCTATCAGACTTACCAATAAAAAAAAAACCCCAAAAAAAAAAACCAAAAAAAAAAAAAACCAAAAAAAAAAACAAACACAACTTAATTAAATGCACAATAATTGAAATAAACAATAAACTTTGACTATTTTTTATAATCCAAACCACACTTAGGTTGTTCACATCTGAAACAATTCATTCCCAAGGAATTGGGCAATGCAATTGTTCCAGAAATTAAAAACTAAACCTGATCAAATGCAAAGATGGCAGCAGATAAGAAAATTCATGAAAAAACTACACTTCTTGATGAGTTTCCACTTAATACATTCAGTGGTTGAATTCCAGTTGAGTTCATTACAATCACTTACGCACAAATACCCTAGAGAAAAGTATGAATCTATCTCTACTCCCTCCAGCTATGGGCTGAATAGCAAGATGGTCTATAGGCTTGGTTGGCAACCAGTTTATCAAAGAAAGAAATGTCAACCTACTGTGAGAAAATATGCCTTGTCAGTGTATCACGTATGACAACTGACTGGTTAACAGGTAAATAAGTTAATATCAACATTTTCACTACTTTTACCTGTTAAGGGCCAAACAGTTTTAACTAATACGCTCCGTTCGACCACTTGTCTTCATTTCATTTTCTGTTATGACTAAGGCCTGCTTTCCAATTATATTATTTAGAGAAATAATCATTGTTCTATTCTTGATGCTGAAGGTGTCAATTAATGGACTGCCAATGATTGACGTCTATTTTATTGATTGCTTCTCTTTAAAAAAAAAAAAAAAAAAAAAAAGCACGCTAAAAAAAAAAAAAAAAAATCAGGATTTAACTAAAATTATTCTTGTGTTTTTCTCTGTTTTACATGGAAAAACCTGAACAAACTTTTGTAAATTCCAACAACTTTGATTTCACATAAAACTTGCAAGTAAAAATTATCAAAATGCACTCCATTGATTACATTTTATATTGGCTCTGAATAATCGCAACCATTGTTTGAAGTTTGGTTTGGTTTGTTTTACGACATATCAACCTCAACGGGTCATTTAATGCCGACAATTTTTTTTTATTCTGGTAATATTTTTGTTTTGTCGAAAATCTATTTCTGTTAATATTTTTTTCCTCAAAGCAGTGGCAGTTTCGACTACTAGCCACCATCATCTCTCTGCTTGCCAGCAGCGGCAGTTTCGATTACTAGCCACCATCATCTCTCTGCTTGCCAGCAGTGGTAGTTTCGACTACTAGCCACCATCATCTCTCTGCTTGCCAGCAGCAGCAGTTTTGACTACTAGCCACCATCATCTCTCTGCTTGCCAGCAGCGGCAGTTTTGACTACTAGCCACCATCATCTCTCTGCTTGCCAGCAGCAGTTGATTCAGTAGGCTCCAGCTCATACCTCATTCCCACTGATCCTGCGACACAGTTCACAGCTTAGGCCACAATCTCCAACCTACGAGCCACTAGCTATACCAGCTTGTTACACCGCCTCCTTCCAGGCCTGTTTACCACCACACTCACAACTCCAGTTACATCACCAACCTACTATTGGCTCAGCTCGGACCAATGATGACTTTCAGCATGATCAACTGGAGCAATTCAAAACACTAGACCGTTTTGTTTTTCTTTTTTACTTTGATTTTTGTCAATAAAGAAATTTGACATTTTTATTAATCTAATCACCTCGTTCTAGTTATCCTTGCCTTTGCTGTGTCACTTCTACTATTTTAATGTTTGCAGGGATTGTCTAACACAGACAAATGGCTCTCTGCAAAAGATTGTTTACTTCTACATTACCTATTCTTGTAAAGAGAAGAGAAATTTGTTTTAAGGAAGAAATACTTTTTATGCCACAATATAGTATGTGGTTAGCTGAAAAGTTCTTAGACAAAACTACTTCTCATAATCCAACCAAATAAGTAAATATCAAA